AATATTGATACTGCAGTGATTTGGCATTGTCTGCAGAAATAAGTCAATTATTATGAGATACACTATACAATGTATTTCATCAAGGCTTCTAAAAGATATAAAACTATTGATAGTTTAGTGTTGCTCGCAAAATTTTTGCTTTTAATCATACGAACTTACACAACATTGTCATCATCTATAACAATTTTTCTTCTTTGCATATTTATAAAAGATGCTGGTAACCTTTGTCAATCTTAGATGTGGTTATATGATTAGGCGACCAATGAAGACTGTTCAATAAAAATAAAGAACTTTTCATTTTTTCCCTGTTTGGCATTATTCTCACGTCTTAATTTTCGCAATATTTTTATACTTGATCTTATCCGCCCACGCCATTCCCGTCCCTTATATCAGCTGCTGTGTGTTGAGGCGATATAAACTCATTAATATATGCGTTCAATACTATTTTTGTTACCTTCATGGAAATAATAAGATCCAGTATCGATTTGAAACTACCTGACAATATAGTTTTTAAAGCAATCATTTTACTGTAAATTAAGGCATCACCAAAAGCCTACTAGTTAAGACCTTATTGTGTGAAATCATTGAAAGAGCTTCAGTCCTAGATAGAATATTTTTAAAAAGGAAGTAGTATTTGTAATAAAAATGATTTGACAGCGGCAAGTGTAATTAAAGAGGCATAATGGCGTATTGGTGCTACATTTTGGTTGGAGCTGCAGAATTCTCACTTTCCAGCCTTGTTAGCGGTTGAAATCATTTACGCGGTCTTGTGGCAAAAGAAGACTTATTTCCTACACTGCCACCTCTTTCCACACCCACACCCAACATTGCAAACCTGGAACAACTCTATCATCATTTCTATGGCAAATGATCAGATGAGCTAAATTCTTTAGTTCCAAATGTTTAAAAGTTTACAGCCACAAATCGTTATTCTACTTCTACGGGGTTGAAGCACCCTCATTTGTTCCATGTTCCAAATATAAGCAGAAATCTCCACTCAAGTTTTTTTCCCCAAGAACTGCTACTTTGCGCAGGCGCTTCCTTAAACAGTTCAATCTTGACCTTTTCAAGTCAAGAGTCAATCGATATCTATTCTCCTTATCCTCACTTATCTTCACTTCCTAACATCTTCTCTTCCATTCATATACCACAATCCATTCAGCATTACCATTTTGACTGTAAGATTTTACCTTTAGTGACTTCCAAGTATTGTATTGTATGAAAATTAGTATAAAATATTTAGTTTGACAAATGACATCATATTATTTGTAGACTTTTGAAATTTTTGATTAAGAATTCTCGTTTTATTTAAGACATTGATTAGAGTTTGAACAACGGATGAGATTTCTTCGTCAGTCAAGCAAGATTGACATCTGATTCCTATTGATTCTTGTGACAATTTATATATATTTTCATCGTTAAGGTCACTTAATAAGGCATATATAGATAGGCCATGTGATCAGATGACTTACTCTGCTCTCATTTGGCCACATTTCCATATTTCCAACCATGAATTTCTGGGCTAATGTCACGTTGTTGAACCTACTACACGTCCAAATCAGCACAGACGAACAATTACACACGAAAGCAGATTGTACGCCCACGCGCTGGTAATGGTTAACTGCCCTCTTGCACTTCAGTGTAGGAGCTTTTTTAGATTGATTTCAGGGAAACATTGTCTATTTCAGCCACCACCCAACTGAACCGATCTGGTTAGGCTTGTTAACACTAATTAAATAAGAAGAAGATCTTTGATAGGAAACAAGAGTTAAATATACGGATCAGCGATGACTAGAAAGGCTAATTGCGTCGATAAACTTGTTGATGTAAACAGCAAATGTACATTAACTTGTTGAAGAGTAAATCGGGCCGACTAAATATGCCAGGGACAATAACAGCAAGACTAACGTTAATCTTAAAGGCCGCTTAGAGAATGCCAGGTACAAAAAAAAGAAGATTAAGGCTTAACGCGCAGAAATAGAAAGAAAAAAAGAATGGACACAATTTTATGACTGTCCGTGAATCTCATAATTTGTTTTAAATCCGATTAGTTTTATATATATATATATATATATATATATATATATATATATATATATATATGTCGAGCCCAGTCAGTGCTTAAATGGGAAATCGCTTGGGAACACTGTGTACTATAAGTGAAAACTGAGCACAAAACATTCATCCCGTGAAAACTTAATTGCTACAGGAAACGTAGCACAATCAATGTGGACTCATATTCCTCAGTGGATTCTACGGAACTAAAGGAGGAGTATATATATATATATATATATATATATATATATATAAAATGTTTATATTTATTTATTTATTTATTTATATATATATATATATATATATATATATATATATAATGTTTATGTTATATATATATATATATATATATATATATATATATGCAATTTTTTAGATATGTTATTATTTTATTATACATGCGCAGTACTTATTGGAAAGCGCTCAATATCAGTGATAGAGCTAACATATTTAGTTGGATTGATGTGAGTTTGTGACTTTGGGTTTCATGCTATATATATATATATATATATATATATATATATATATATATATATATATAGAGAGAGAGAGAGAGAGAGAGAGACGGATGGATAGATACAAGTGTGAATATAGGGATTAGCACTAAATGTAAATTGTCAGTTTAACGCCATCATTTGATGCATGAAACCGACAGTCACCATGTTGTGTTGATCCTTATTTCTATACTATCTATATTTACAAACGGTCTATCCACAACATTGAGAACTATTCTCCCATAAGTATAGTAAATTTTGAGTAATACCTTTCTTTTGGTTACTGTCATAGATCCTACTAACACGTGTATATATATATATATATATATATATATATATATATATATCAAGACAAAATGAAATTTTTTCTTAGCTCGCACATTTCGTTCTCTGATTGACTTTATCAAGGAAAATGTAGGTTTTTTTATTTTGCAAGAAATGAAATTTAAACAGAAGTAAAATGTCAATTCAGATTTTTTTAAGGTAAATAGGGGATACAAAGTAGTGATATCTAATAAACGAAAGTGTGTAAATGATGTTATTGTTGTTGCTTAATATATATATATATATATATATATATATATATGCGTGTATGATTGTGTGTGAATGTAAACAGTGTATTGCGTTCGATTATAACAAGTACTCAAACTACTATAGCCTTGCGCCAGACTAAACTTACTAAATAGCTATGAAAGTTAGAAAGGGAGGAGGTGCAAGTGGGTGTGTATAAATAGAGAATAATAAAATGAAGAGATGTTCGTCTGTAGACTTTTAATTATTGATTTCGCTAAACGATAGAACAATATGTTGAACAAGGGCTTCATGTAAATAAATAACGTAAATGACCTTGAACGAGCTCTACTCGTTCACGTGTGTGCACACACATATACCTAGGTACATATGAATACACACACCCAAAACGCACAAGCATACATATTTAGACACGTATGCATATGCACGCGTATACCTGATCCTATATACATATATGCACATGTTTCATACATGTATACACATACGTTTATACACAAGTATATTATAATATGTAGCGTATAAGAAAGGATATTCGTATTTTATGGACTTTATTATCGATAGGAACCCGAGAACATATAAAATCCGTGGGTAAGTAATCCAAGTAGATCCTATTAATATAAAATATTAAAACTGATCCACAAAAGAGAGAATATAATTTTTATAGAGCATATAAGTGAGATTACAATTAATGAGATCCAATCGATTTACCTCATACAGATAATCATTTCGTCCATGGAAAAGTAGTCTTACCTGGACTTATCAATACACATACATTTACTAAAATGTTTTAGTAAATATATTTGCATTGATAAGTCCAGGGGAAAACTACTTTTCCATGGACAAAATGATCAGGAAAGATTATATTTCTACGCCAAGAAGAAAATTCATGTCTCTTCCCAACTTTTTCTATTGTTTCCGTTCATTCGTGGTCGAGGAACCTTAATAATATTGTGACAGAGCCTCGTTGCTGGGGATTCATCTTTTAGTCAACACCTCCCCGAGTAATACCAATGATTTATCAGGCGTACGCCTCGTTGCCGTCAGTACAATTTAAGTTGTTTCATTGAAACATGTATGAATCTCATGTGAAATAATCTGATGTAGAGGCAAAGAATTATCTTCGCTTTCTTGAGCAATAACAAATAAACCTGTTGGTTTTCAATATTTATTTTATATCACTTTCTTCCACAGATGTTTATATAAACACTCAAGTGAATTGCGTCGTGGTGCTCTTTTTTCTCACGGGCGGTGCCCACTTTACCCTACTATACTGTGTCGTCGACAAAATATAAAACAAACAATACGCATGCGCGAAATTAAAAATATAAAATGGCGACATGGAGAATAGAACTTTTGAACATGAATAGAGACTTTTTTCCTGATTAGGATTGTGTTTCTCTTCTTCTCATCCTCTTTCACTTCCAATACCTCCTTACGTCTTAGTGGCATTATCGCCTTACTGGGGGTGAATTGATTAACACGCACACACACACACACACACACACACACAGACACACACACACACACACACACACACACACACATATATATATATATATATATTCATTGCTAAACTGATAGAGTTTACAAGCATATATATCTTTCATAAGAAGCACCGGGACTTAGGGAGTGTCGTGATTGATTAATGTAAATATACGCCGATATAAATAGATTTGATATATATTCGAATCTAAAACTGATCTGAAATTGATTCGAAAGTCACAAGAAACAGCTCCAAATGTGAGTCGTTCAGGCTTTTCTTAGAGAATTTGTTTCTAATTGAATTCGTTGATCTGCAGATGTAGTTTTATTCTAAAGGATTCATGAAAGGCTTATTGAGAAATGTCAATCTTCAACTAAATTAAAGGAATTATTAAATTTTAGGTTTCTTTCAGCTCATGTCCAAGTTTTTTTAATTTAATGATATCTCCTTCATTTACAGTGTCTCTATCTATCTATCTATCTATCTATCTATCTATCTATCTATCTATCTATCTATCTCAATCTGATCATATCTATCTATCTGTTTATCTATCACATTTGTTTCTCGCTGTTCGTATGAACTTATTTATTTCATTCTGTTCATATCTATCTACATGTATATTTTATCATCGTTTGTCTCTCCACTCTCTGTGTATTCAGCCACCAGTCACTATTTCGAGGTCTGAATGCATATTTTTTGAAAAATATCTGCATTTTTATTCCATATATTACTCGAAGAAATGTCTTTATATTTGTTATTAATAACCTCCAATCCGCCCTAGTCATAAAATTTGGAACTCATTTACATTTTTCATAAGAACAAGCAGACGCGACCCAGTCACGTAATTCCGTTAAACTCGAATGCACCAGATTTAAATATGAAAAGACGCAAGAAAAAAAAAAGCGGATGTTGCCTTATTCACCTGAAGATGGTCGAATAATGTATCGGTCGAAACATTGGGTTAATAACAACAATGAAAGCAACAAATAAAATAATGGAAATGCCCTCAACTCAGAACTTTCGAAAACAAGTGATAAAAACATTGTTGTCATCGTTTTGTGCAATTCTGATATCAGGATTGTATGCTTCCGTCTTAGTTTTTGTTTGCAATCTTGTCTGTTTTCGTTTCAGTTGTCTTTGACACATCAATGTTGATGAATCAGTGTCAAAGGATTCCAGGGTAAAAAGTTTTTTTCTTCAGCATTGTATACTCATATTTATGCAGACATTGAAAATATGTTTTAAACCCATTGTATGTATATAGGTATATATTTAAAGACTTTTCTCTTAAATTTCAGGTTATATCCACGATGTCCTCTCCACATCACTGTTGCAAAATGGCTTGCAGAACGGGATGGAATCGGAAAAATCTTTTGGAACTGATTCTTACGGGGAACCAGAACCGGAAGAAGACAGCCCGATGACTGCCGACAGTGTTGACGACTTACGCGACTCAAGCTGTAGCCCAACGTCCCTGACTATTGGCTATACCTACGATGCGTTCTTTATCAGTGACGGTCGGTCAAGGCGTCGAAACGCCTTGGGAATCCCCGAAAAAGCCAACAGACAGCGATATACGTGTAATGAATGCGGCAAGAACTATGCTACCTCGTCAAACCTGTCGCGACACAAGCAGACACACCGTAGCCTGGATAGTAAACTGGCCAAAAAGTGCCCCCACTGCCAGAAGGTGTACGTTAGCATGCCTGCTTTGTCCATGCACATACTCACGCACGACTTGAAGCACCGTTGCGACGTGTGTGGTAAGGCTTTCAGTCGACCGTGGCTCCTGCAAGGACATATGCGCTCACACACCGGCGAGAAGCCGTTCGGGTGTGCACACTGCGGTAAGGCATTCGCGGACAGGTCGAACCTCCGGGCCCACATGCAAACACACTCGGCTTTCAAACATTTCAAGTGTAAACGATGCGACAAGTCTTTCGCCCTTAAATCTTATCTCAACAAGCATTATGAATCTGCTTGCTTAAAAGAATGATTTTTCCTCCTATGACGAAGATGTCTCTCGTAAACACATACACTCATATATACTGGCATCATACACCAAGATACACATCAGAAAGAAGCTTTACGCATACGCACTCATACATTATCCTACAATACTTTGCAACATTCCGTAATACCATTCACACTAAGCACCTAACAACGAGTAAACGAATGGTGAATGCAACTTATCTCGTTGTTAAAACAATCATCAGGCAAACATTTGGATTGGCATTTTGACTTTTTTGACAGTTCTACACTATTAAGAAAATAATTACAATGGAATAAAGAAGTTGAACACAGAATCCGCCATTAAGAAGAAACGACTGCTCCTGCCTCATTGAAGAACATTTCAAATTTAAATTGTCATATTGGGGTTCCTGATATGGAATTCAAAGATTGACATCTGCATAATAGATGCATTTGATTCCAATCAAGCTTTTGAGGCAAGTTTAACAGATACCTTTATGAAAATAAGATTCTAAAAATCTCTGGTTGTGAATTTTGCGTTGTGACAACGAAGGGATAAGCAAATCAAAATGGCTACTCAAAATATTCACCACTAACAAAAACAAATCAACAAAACAAAAGTATTCAAATCAAAGCAATCGAACAATTTTTTTAAAGTACAAAAAAATCCAATCACCATGACGCGTTTTCACCAAACTCAAAGCAATACTTAAGGATCTATGCGTGCGTGCGTCTGTCTGTCTGTGTGTGTGTGTGTGTGTTTTTAAAATAATTATTATTTTGCAATAATTTTAACATCAGGACATAAAACCGTGCAAACATTAAACAAAACAAACTTTCAATACTTAAATAACAATGGCAAAAGTATCAAAATGAAAAAGAAGCCAAAGACGAACAAATAATCGCGAAAATAAATATTGTTTAGTGTCTCCGAGGCCGTATTTTGTGTAGTTATTGTACAACACCGCTGCTGTTCACGGCTAACGTTTATTTAACAAGCGAGTAAAGAATACCATTTTGCTGGTCTGTCTGCAACAAATTGAAAATATTAACAAATATTTTACTGCTGTCCATAGATTACGACAAGCGACTCTGCATACCACTGAAATGAATGAATATATTGGACGATTTATAATTCAAAACAAAAATGGTGATTTTAATGAAGTACTGCTGTTAATATACAGCTATGAAACTTTGAGTGGAGGCCAATTGAAATGCCTTTCACTCGATTACAGCTGTGCATTTTTTTTTTTACTTTTTTTTTTACAATTGATTTTTTAAAATAAAAATCACATATCTATATAAAACAATTGAAAGTATTTTGCTGTACTGTTTGGAGATGAAATACAATTTGGGTTCGAACCCAGTTCCATCCACTGACTTGCCAATTGCATCGACAAAAAACAAAAAAAAAAAAAAAAATGACAATAAAGAAAATCAAGTTTTTGAAACTGCTCACTGATTGGCTAAATTAGGAAAATATTTCACAAAAGTAATAACTTTTCAAGGCATCTACGCAAAACAACTTGAACAGAAATGCCCTTTCAACTTCATCAAATATGAAAGCTATAGTACATTATATCTGCATGGTTTATATATACACACACACATATATATATATATATATATATATATATATATATATATATATATATATATATGTCATGTAATATATCTGTCTATATACACTCATACAAGTACATATGGAAAACGTTATTGATACCTTCACAGTGCTCTCACATGTACTTAACAATAAAAGTGCACATGTAAATACACTGACGCCCATAAATTCAACAGAATCTACTTGATAAACATAGGCGAATCGCCGTACGTGTAAAATCTCGTCTATGAAAGACCAGATATTTTTTTACAGTACATATTTATTACCAAGATGCGAAAATGCTAAAAGGTATTAGCAACAGAATCACCAAATGCCGAGAATTTCTTTTATATATATATATATATATATATATATATATATATATATATATATATATATATATATATATATATATATATATATATATGTATGTATGTATAACAAATCTACATTGGCAAAAGTATTGGACAAAAATTTCTTCCGAAGAATGAAAACAAATGAAAACAAAAAATATTCGGAAGATAACTAAAATAAATTAACATATATATATATATATATATATATATATATATATATATATATATATATATATATATATATATATATATATATATATATATATATATGAATAACATGGACAAGCATCACCGATAGTATACTGAAAAAGAATAATTTCAACACAGCAGTAACCGCAGCAGCAGCAACAGCAGCAGATAACAGCCACACCACCACCACCACCACAAACAACAACAACAACAACAGCAACCACAAATAGAAACGAAAACAGAAACAAATGCTACGACAGATGCCAAACGAACGTTGACTTATAAAAACGTGAAGAGCTTTGTGTAGAAATGTCTGCTGAGATGCATATTTCATTTAAAACCACCCCGATTCCACCCGATTCGATTTATTATTTGATGGTTTTAAACCTCTTCTGACCAATTATTTAATATTCCATGTCATTTTTTTTTGTATTTTTTAAATACATTTTTATTTGTCATTTTATGTCTACCTATATATACACGCAAGTATGCATGAATGTGTGTATTTTTATGGGCGTAACTGTGCGTATGAGTGCGTGTGTTATATCCGGAACTCGGTTACACCGGAAGTCCACCGTGTGCATTGTGGGTGGGCTTGTCTAGGGTTTGTTTTTTGGCTTTTGAGGCGTGGTTTTTGCAGCGTTATAGTATTAAATGTTTCTTTCATCTTCGGCTGGTTTCCTGTATCAGGGAACAGCAGTAATGCTATCCATAACCCGACCTCTTGCCTTAAAACACACCACCATGCCACTGCTTAATACGGTCAGAAGCCAATCTTAACCAATCAAATAATAATCTGCTTTAAACTCCAAAAATATAATTAAAAAAACAAAAAAATTTGTAAAAAAATATATCGACAGCAAATAGACGATCTCACATTTAGTTTTTTAAATGAAAGTTTGATTTAAAATGAAAACTGAATATAATTTTTTAAATATTCAATATGTGTGTGTGTGTCTGCTTGATTAAAATGACGAAAGAAAGAAATGAAAATGAAGAGAGGTAATGCCTATTCTGATGCGTGTAAGTGTATTTGTAAGTATTTCTTTTTCAAAACAAATGAACAAGACACGCCAAGTCTGGAAAGAGAGCAATAATTGTTTCGTTTCGCCAGCCGAAACGAAACGCAACACTAAACAGACATTTAATTTAGTCGTGAAAAAAACCCCCAAAAAAACAAAAAAAAAAAAATAACAAAAAAAAAAACATACAAAAGTATTTAAGGTGAGATCGTCTACTGCTGGCTCGAAATCGTTAAGACAAAAGAGGCATTTGAATGACCCCAGGCAAGTGCCAACATCCTTCTCCTCGAATTCACCCCACCAAAGAAAATCAATTAATGTATAAATGAAATAACATGATCTCAGCTGACGTTAATGTATATTAATTTTTGTATCGATTTCGTATCGATTTTATCATACTGGTTGTAATTTCATTCATTCATTTTTCACTAAGTGTCATTTTCTGTATCTAACGTCTATATTCCTATCTGCGTATGTGCCGGTGTTTTATGCAAATTCAGCATATATATATATATATATATATATATATATATATATATATATATATATATATATATATATATATATGTATGTATGTATGTATATATATGCGTATACTGATCTCTACTTTAAATCTTTGCGCTGTATATGCCTGTTTTTCTTTTTTTTTTTCTATTTTTTTTAATGCATACGCACATGGGCATATGCAAATATTGGGTATATATATTCGTTTTTACAGACATTAGTTCCTTTCAGGAATTTCATTCATCCCATTTTCTACAATTTTTCGTCCCCTACAAAAGCAATTGAAAAAAATAAAAAGAAACCCCCGTTGTTATTCAACACTTATAGCCTTCGACACCAGATTCTACAACGTCCTATATAACTGACCTGTCTAGGGGTTAGTGATTTTTTAAATCTATGTATTTCACAATACAACATCTATCAAAAGTAATAACAGTAATAATAGTAATAATATCTATAATAAAACTTTTAATAATAATTATAATATAAAAACAACACAAAAATAAAAGATCTCTCTTATCCATGTTGATGACGTCACATTGTCTAGAAAGGGTTGGCACTGAACACTCCAATTTCGAGTTTATTTCCTTGGTTAAAATTTAAAATTCAAATATTATTTTTAAAATATTTCAAATATATTAAATTAATTAAATATAAACGCAATTAATTTCTTTTTGCATTTGTAGGTTTTTGTTTGTATAAATTTTTTTAACTGGAAATGGTACCGAGAACATGTTATAACCTTTTAGAATTCAAGCAAACAAGTATAAAATATTTTTTTTTAAATATTAAAATGAAAGTTCTTGTTTAAATGCTGTTAGAGGAGGTGTTTTAATTAATGCATGCAACTGGTTTGGAAAGAAAACGATTAGGAAATTAGTCCTAACCAACTACGTAACATAATAATAAAAATATTAACTGTGAAAACAGTATTCAGTGTCACACCTTTATTATAGAAAAGGATTCAATTTTGGATAAAATTCTTCAACCAACACAAGCAAAAACGTAACACAGAAGATAACCCATAATAACAAAAGAGTGAAATCTGTTCGTTTTCATTTTTTTTTATTGAAACTCCTGATTCTGCCACGGCCTTATATACTTGTTATCTAGTGATGTCTAATTCTGGAATCAGTAGCTGTGATCCGGAATATTCTCATTCTTTTTTTTTAATTTTCGAACAGGGTGATGATAATGATGATGATAACAATGGTGATACTGTTCGAATGTTATGTACACCTCCTGTGCAATTAGATTATTCATCTTTTTTGGGTGCAACTGAATGTTAGAATGTATGAATTCATGATTATTATTATTTTACGAACACGAATCCATGTTAACTTCTTTTTTTATG